GTATATGAATATAATCATGAAAAATATTTGTGAACAACATTTGCAGAAATTGTAGCAAAACTTTAAACCTGCTTGGGGAGCCTACTGAAATTGCAAGAAAAAAAGAGGCAAAACATATAATTGAGAGTGCCATATAATGAATGCCTACTGATTTTAAGTTTATGTAAAATTATTAGAGTTACTATGACTGCAGACAATAAAAAGTAGAGAAATGGAATCATATGAATATCTTTTCTCTAAAAAGCGAAAAAGCCAAAGACCAGCCTACAGTGATTATTGAAACAAAATTAAAATCAACAACTCAAAGGTCCATTAAACTTTCTAGAGGCAGGACTAAATTTATTTTACATCTGTATCATGACTAAAAAAACAAAAAAAAAAAATGCAGAATTGTATAAAAAAATAAAAAAATTGCCGTTTTTCTGTGCACATCCTAAAGTAATATTTAGTTATTTACTCTTCCGTTGTAGATAAAGAGTTATCTACTTCAGTATATTGAAAATTATGCCAAAACCTCCTAGAAGATTAATAAGCCGTGTAATTAAATGTAAAAGGAATATAACAAATGATAGGTATTAAGCAGTCTATTAAGAACTCAAATCACAAAAAATAAGCTAATATAACAACCACCACATAGTCTCTTAATTGCTAAAAGTGATAATTCCAACTCTTGACATATTTCTTGATTATTTGTTTTGATCTTCATTTTTCCTGGGCCAACCTCCTTAATAAAATTTCCATAAACAAATAGAATACACAACACAAGATCAAATAAAACCCACCTCCTTAATATGTCTAATTCACGCCACTTGCTCTCCCCCTTTCCAGCATCAACAATCGCCATCTAAATCAAAAAAGCAAGAGAAAGCGTACGGAATTGAGATAGAAAACTTCAAGATACCACTGAGAAGAGAGATATATTGGATAGAGGAATCCCAAAGGTCTCACCGGACACTGGCAACCATCACTGACCCATCTAAACCCAGAAGCAAATGGAAGGTGGAAGAGAAAGGAAGTCTGAAGTCTGAAAGGGAAGGAAGGAAGAAAAAACCCCTTTTGTTTTTTTTTTTTTTTTTGGAAGGCATGTCCTCGACTTCTTGCGCGATGAAAGTTGAAAGATCAGAAGAAAAGATTTAAGCAAACACTCAACATCAACTAAAAATTAAATCACCAATCGAAAATTTCCATCAGGAACCATCCCCACTACAGACAGCATAAACAAAAACGCAGGTAAAGAAACAGAAAATTAGGAGAACCTTTTGCAAATCCTTGAGTTCCTTCAAACCCGTTTAGAAGCCATGAAGCTTCACCAGATGGGGCCCTAGAACCTGCAAAATCACAAAGACCCATGTCAGGAAACAATGAAATCAGCCTAGAAACAAGAACTAACAAGATGGATCCCACCATCAAACAAAGCAAACTTTAAAAAAAGAAAAAGAAAAAGAAGAGAACAACAAGCAAATGGGAGAAAGGAAGAGTGACGAAGATAGAAGAAAGGAGAGTACCTGAGGAAACAATGAAATCAAGAGATGAGAGACGGAAATAGTGGTAGAAAAAGGGAGAAATGGGTTTCAAGCAGATCTAGAGCAACAACCTCTTTCCATTGTACCGCTTGTTCTCCAACCCCAAATCCCTTGATTATGCAGAAACTTGACGGATGAACAACACAAAAGAAAATCACAGAGCAGAGAGAAGAAACAAAGAGGATTAAGAAGAAATCACCTGAAATCAACGTAAACTCACCTATTGACCTCCTGTCATTGATGGATTAGAGTCGAGGAAATGAATTTGGCATTTAGGTTCAAATGGGTTTTTGAGTTTTAGCAAAATCAACTCCAAATTTTGGAGATTTGGGAGAGGGATGGAAATATTTAGGTCTACAGGGGAGGGAAACTCGGAATTTGGGGAGGAAAAATTAGGAATAGGTGGAGGGAAGTGAAAATGTATACAGACAGAATAGGTTAATTCGTCTGTATAGAGAGACCTATAGAAACGGATAAGGATTATCGTTACAACTGACCTACTCTATCCAGACGGATAATTAGTGATCTGTCTATGTAGACCCATTCTATACTAACGAATATATTTTGCTGTTGGTATAGACTCGATGTATACTAACTACTTAAATTTTCTGTTGGTATAGATGATTTATATAGACGGATTCATGTCAGTCAGTATAGGCTTCCGTTGGTATAGGGCACTCTATTTGTAGTGGGTATAGAACCTTGGCGCAGGCCCAATCATGGCTCCCCGCTCCCACACATCCTATAAAGCAACGAACATAACAGTTTCAGAGTTGAGAATCGGGAGGC